ATTGCGAACCCGGGGCTAGCAGGGCGCTGTCGCCACCAGCCGACGCCCTTTTTGCCGGCACATTCGAGTTGGCGTCGGTCTCATAATTTCGATGACCAGCGGTGACCATCGGAATTCTTTGCCGCCTACGTTAATCTGCGGAGAAAAAAGATCACAGCTCGACGTAGAAAAATAAGGGAAAAACGTTATTTGTTCCGAGAGAGAAATGATTTCGCGCTGACGTTTGATAACGATATGAGAAAAAAGAAACCCCACGCGATATAAGCGGGCTTGAAACATTCGTTGAAAATATTGCAGCGAGTTACACTAACCCCGATTTCACCCTTCATCGCGAACGACGATGTGTGTGTCTGCGAAACTTATCGTCTACGACGCAACATCGCGGCGAGACTTTGGCAGATCTCAGCGATCGATCGCCATCAGTCGACCGAGAAACCGACCGAAGTAAGACCCATATATATCACAACAGCCGCGGCGATGATGGTGTATAGCGTGTGTATATAGGTATATCGTGCGGACACAGGCTGTCATTATTTCGCGATCGATGGCCGACTATATAGCGCGTACCCGATGCGTAATTCGTGCACGGTCCGTTGTGTAGAGTCGATGCTACGGGCGATCGAATCGCGGCGCGCCTCTAAATAAGGCCGCGCGATTTATTCACGCGTCCCGTCGTGAATCGCCGGTCACTTTGATCCGTCTAGCGCGAAATCAACCTTTTTTTTTCGCAGTTTCTCTCCTCGCCAACCCGAGTCCGGTCCGTGAGTCTTGCCGACCGCAAGATCGGCCGTCCGCTCCAGCTCCGTCGCACAGCTCCTGTGGCCGATTTGTGCGTCGTCACGCGCGTCTACCCTTCTTCGGAATCGCCCTCGCTCGCACGAGAGAGTGGAAACCACTCTTGCGTTCTATTCTGCGTCGATAGGGGTGGCATGTATGATTTAGAATAGAATAGGGTGGAAGAACGATTTATGACGCTAGAGCCAGAGAATTCTCGGATCTGATTATTTGTAGATACCAATGACATTTTATATGCATATGTTTAATATCTTTTCGTCTCTCTCTTGGTCTCTTTCTCATACGTTTATTTATTAATTTTTTCACTTTTACAATATATTAATAATTTATTGAATTTGATATATATATATATATATATATATATATATATATATATAATTTTTAATTTAACTTTATCAATTTTAATTAAATTTTCCGTTTAATTGAGATCCAAATTAACGCGAAATTTTATATATATCTTCTGTTCTCTGTCTGTTCTCTGTCAAACATATATTAGTACTCATTAGCATATAATTATACCTCGATTAGAGATGCCGCTATTTCTCTCCATCCGTCCCGCTTCGCGACCCCCATCCCTACGGCGCACTTCGATCCCCTGCGGAGGGGTGGCTTCCCTCGCGAGGGGTGCCCGCGCGAGGCAGGAGGGTGCGTCAACTGTTGCACGATCGCTCAAACTTTTCAGTCACAACAGGAAAGCCCGCGGCGGTGCCGACGTGGATCGCCACTTGCCGCGCGAAGGATGGCTCGCCGTTCCCCTATTTCCCCCTCGCCGCCGCAAATTGGGAGGTTTGACAAACGAGGCGGATAAAACCGTTCACGCGTCGTCTACAAACTCCCGTGGTATTAATAAGCAACTCCCGCGGGATAATTTTTCTTGCGACACTTTACGTGACAACTCCCGCGCGAATTTGTGTCGCCACGAGGACGAAACGTTCGCCATTATAAATTTCATATTACGAAACTAACTAAAAGAAACTAGATTAAATTAATAATATCTATATTTTGTGTGATTTGCGAAATAGCAATCAGTTATGATCAATCTGCAGTCGAATCTTTCGTGACAAAAATATCGAGAATCGCCATTAATTTTTTTTTGTACTATAACTCAAAATAAAATATCTTTCGAATTAAAAGCTGCGATTTGACAGTATTCTCGTGGCGAAGTTATTGCCGAGTCAATCGCTAATTTTTCGGAGCTATATCGCGATAATACAAATGGATGAGGATTATCACGAATTTCTGATAAATTAATGGCCATCGATTAATTCTCACTCAATGTCCTTCGACGGCGTTAGGGCACGGAGTGACGGAAGGGGAAAAAAGAGAATGGGGGATGTAAAAAATCCCTGCGGATTTAATTAACATCGCACGCGCTTCTTTCCCTTTCCGTCCTTCAACCCTCTGACGTGACATATACGATTGTGCTGGAATTTATCGAAGCTTCCTTGTCAAAATGCGCTCGCGGGGTGCGCGAACTAACGAAACCGCGAATAAAAGCAAGTAAAACTATAATAGCAAACACGTAAAAAAAAGTTGAAATTAATCCCACGATTAATTGAGAACTTGTACAATTGATTGGGATTGCAATTGGTTGAATTAGGAAAGCGTTTCTTTCATAGCCACGGAAACGCTTTTTTTTCCATGTGTCACGTCGATCATACCCGTCTCCGAAGACATCCCGTAATATTTCACCTCGTAATATTTCACAGCGGCCACGATCGGGAACGCTATAACGCACGAATTTTAGCTGCTTTTTGTTACGGACAGCAATCTCGTAACGTCGGAGTCGCGCGCGCGTAGGAGAAGCCGGACGGACGGGGGAGAGAGATTCGTCAAAATTTCAGCGTAGCGGGCCAGATAACAGCGGGGCCGACAAGCAAAATAAAAGACGCCCGGATATCCGACGCCGACGCGAGCACGAGCGCGAGCGCGATCCAATAGCGTTGCAATTTCATCCATCCTCCATTCCGAGAGGAAATCCTTCGGGCGAAACAAAAGCGAGCAACGCAACCGTCGGGCGAGAATTCGGTCGGGAATTCGTCGGCGCGCGCGAGCACGAGCGCGCCAGCAGCAGCGACATAATTCGACGAGATTTTTGTCACCCGTTTCCTCGAAATTCAAATCCTCGTCGACGAGGAAAACGATCGGGGACGCGATAATCCGCAAATGCGCGACGCGAAAAATCTCGCGCGGTTTGCATTTTTAACACCCGGCGAGTTGGAGAGGTAGAGAGAATATCGGAAGAGGAGCGAGACCGCTATTCGTTCGTTGACGCGCGATTTCAACGCTCGTGACAAGTGGTACCCAAAGAATTTCCGCGATCGCGTAATAATGTTTTACTTCGTGGAAGTTAACTTTTTAGCGAAACTTCTTTTTTTCATAAATAGCGATGACGTTCGAGATATATATATATATCTCCATTTAATCTCCCGGAAAAAAAATCGAGCTAAATCCTTTTGGTACTGGAATTCTTTGTGCGCCTTCGCTTGACCTATCCTGGCGTACATTTCACCGGCACACGTTACATCCCGTCGCGTCGCATCCTTTCATCCCGGCGAAATCCTTCCGAGGGTGGGAGGAGGGGCGGGCCCGCGGGCGATTAACTCGCGAAACTCGTGCGCCGGGAAAAATCCGGCGGGAGAGAACGGTGGCAAAAATTTCGTCGGAAAATTTAACCACCAACTTTTCCGGCATGGCGCGGCGCGGCGCGGCGTGGCGTGGCGTAACATAGAGCTTGGCTCGGCTCAGCTCGGTTCGGCTCGACATGGTTCGACGCGACGGGAAAAACGTCGCGATCCTCTCGGAGGATTTATCCCGTTCGCCGAATCGAGCGCAAAGGACAAAGGTAAAATCCGCGGGATCTCTCTCCGGGGAAAAGGAAGCAGAGAACGGAGATCACCGCGTGTGCAGGATGGATAGGAAAAGGGGGGAGAACGGGGGATGGCTGACGAGATCGTGGACGGCGGATTGCGGATCCCCAAGGGGGCGTTCGGGGAAGGGGACGGGGGGAAGAGGGAATACGACGGACAGGATGAGGAAGAGAATCGGGGTTGTGGAAGCGGCAGCGGCGGCGACCCCCGGAAGGTGTGGGCGGCGAGTGGCGATTATGGCTGGCCCCTAGCCTAGGAACAGCTATCTTCCATCTAGACTCTAAATTCAAGAGAATATAGCCAGCACGCTGGAACGTTAGCAACTCTCCCTCGTCATCGCGAGTTGGACTATCGCGTATTTTGAGATAGAATTTTTTACTCGTTTTGTGGAGGGAAAAATCGCGCTTACGTAACGACGCGATTTGATCGTTGATAGTTGCTCAAGCTAAAATTCTAAGATTTTTTCCAAATTTCCAAGAGCTGCGACTCCGAGGATTCGAGATCTTAAATCGCGATCAAGAGTTTCGAAAATCGACGAAGTGTCAGCAAAATATTATCGGCAAAGAGACGGCACTATCTAACATTCTAAAAACTTTTCCAAATTTCTAAATATTACAATTCAAGATTTCAAGTCGTACAAATTTAAATTTTTGAAAATTGACATAAATATAGATACTTGATATGTAAGTATCATTGGACAAACTAATTAGTCAAGTATAATTCCCCAAACAGCACGCTTGTCCAAAATCGGGACATAAGACGTCTTAAAGACATCTTTAAGACAGCTTATGATATGATGTCTAAAGGACGTCTTAATGACATTTATAAGACGTCTTAGTCCCGATTTTGGACATGATACTATCTGGATCTGAATCTTTGCGGTTTGTTGTCCTGGCCGTGTACCAAGCAGGCAATCGTTACGGGGTGAACCGGCTCTTCACCGGAGATTACAGCATTCACGGATTGTCGTCACAACACCTGTGTCTAGACGACGTCTCAAATGTTAAAAAAAGAAAAACGTTTTTAAAACTTTGCGAGACGTTTTAAAAACGTCTTCAAAACTTTCTAAACGTTATCTTTCATAACTTTCTAAAAGTCATCTTTCATAAAACATTTCTAGAGCATGTAGTTATTTACATTACCGATTGCAATATTCATCGATTAGGAAGTGGCGAATCTAAATGACATACAAAAATGTTTACGATCAATTAAAATCTAACGCACCAATGTTTTTTATTATTTCGATATCACACGAAACAATTAAGGCGAAATTTTACAAGAACACAAAGCAGGAACTATTAAGACTTACCTGTCTGCATACTAATTTTAATACTGCTACGGGGAGATCCACAAAAGGCGGTCCAGCGAAGGTCCAGAGGGCGAAGTCCAGCGATGCACAGCTGTAGTCCAAAGACGGTCTGAAGAAGCGAGGTCCAGCGGCGATTCAAGATCCGGCAGCAACCCAAGGAAACCTGCAACAGAAAGAGAAAAGGGGAATTAGGGTAGTCACCATAAAGGTCAAAGATCTGCACAATCATATTCTTTCTCGGTGTTCAGATTAAAACCGAGTGGCGACCATAATAGTAATACCTGCATAGTACATAAATTTCATAGTGGTTGATGACCATTATTATCTATCAGTCCGGTCACAGTAAAAAATCTCGTGAACCCGATAATGTTTGAACGTTTTGAACGACTGAGGTGTCATCGCAGGCATGTCGCGATGCCGTATCGCGACGCTTTACGATCACCCGGTATGCAACAACCGGATCGCCACGCGAAATATATGGATGGCGAATAAAAGTAGATTGCCGCGGCAGCCGGGCTACGACGGACAGCAGCATTTTTATAGTTCATATATGCCCGCGCGTGATTCCGCGTTCCGAGTTGTATCGATACCGCCGAACTGTGTTAAAAGTTATGCTAGTGAAAATGAATAATCCGAAGTATCATCTTCATTTTGAATGTTAGGACTTTATTCGCGAACTGGAAGAAAGATAGATTGATACAAGTATTGTTGGATTATTAACGATCAAAGGCGAATAACGAAGTCCGTTTGATAAACAGGAAATGAAAAATCAGTTATAAATCTCGTTTATATCCGCAATCATCAACTTCTTGCAATTAGATTTTAGACTTATCATTTAATTTTGACTGCCATATAGTATGACTACGAGTAGGAGAACAAATCCTTGATATCCACTAAATAAATTTCATCGTTTCGACGCATTAGCCGCGAGGTCAACAAGTTTCGAACAGGACACTAAAAAGAACCTGACTGATTCTGTCTGGAGTAAAAGATGTTAACTTCGTAAAGATTTCCTGCAAAGAAAAACTGATAAAAGGTGCGGCGATGTTCTGTAGAAGTTACAGAAAGGAACGCACCTCGCGAACGTGTAAAGTCGAAGCTAATTAAATGGTATATTAAATAAAATAACAAGAAAATTAGAGTATCAGTGAGGAAACTATTAAAATACACTACCATTGTTACTACTATGTACATATGCATTAGAATTATTTAAATAAAATAAAATCAAAGTACCTTCTTTAAGACGATGAATGAAGTTCCAGATAAAGATAAATTTATCAATTTAGATAGCAATTCTTTATTGCGCACGTATATCCGTATATAGATATTATGTTTTACATTCTTTATACACCGACTGGAATAATAGTTCTTAAACTTCTGTGGTAGTTACATCAAATATAACACCCAATAGCATACAGAGTCACATGTCATAGATGATACGATCGTGTATATACCGGTGATCGAATACGCTCCCTTCGTTCGTGTCGAATAACCCGGATCAGTACTTATCGCGTCGAGAGCGTGTGGAAGATATCGCGGGAACTCGCAATTACCCTAATTACACGAAACGAAGCGGTCGCAGCGTCGATGACGCGGCGTCTGCGCGAGTTCATCACGAGAGAGCAGAGGGCGAAAGGGAGGAAGGGAGGAAGGGACGAAGAGAGAGAGAGAGAGTGGGAGGGGGAGGGAGAAAGAGGTAGGGAGAGGATCGCCGAGAAAACGAGCAGCCGGATGGGCGCGCGGCCGGAGGAAGGATCTTAATTTCATAAGGATCCGTTCCCGAAGGAGATCGATTTTCCTGACCCTCGGGTACGTTAATAACCTCGGGTTGCGCGCACCCGGTCGCTTATCCCGCCCGAGGGGGCGACGGGGGGAGGAAGGGCCGCGATCGCGATAAATAATTTCGTTCGTTATCGTACCGGCCCGGCTTCTATAATTTTCATGCGCCGGATATACAGGGTGTCCTGTCGACAAATATTTTTCCCCGTCCCCCCTCCTGCGAATTCTTAGGATAGATTTCCGGTAAAATGGAAATAGAAACCGTTCGATCAAGCGTGATTCGATCGCAAAGACATTTAATACAGTCGCTCTGAAAATTGGGGGTATTGACAATAATTATCAGATTTAAAAGTCGTTCGTTAGTATATGTATCTTTTTTCCACAAATTTGTTACATAAAAAGTTGCTGTATCTTAAAATTATATATCGACATCCGTGTACCTAAAATATAGCGATTTTCCGTTAATTTTTCTCACGCATGCAAGACGCTCGCCGGCGCAGCTCGCATTTTCGAAAAGTTTCGGCGGCCGTGCGAAGCGATGAAATATTCGACAAGCTGGCATCGAGTTATACCGGCTAAATTCATCGCCGGTTATTTAACCTTTTTTTCCGCCGATACGAGCCACGATCGATTTGAAGCCCGATTAAGGGGAACCGGGCGTTGCGCGCAATGCAATGACAGGAGAGGACGAGTGGAATTGCGTTAAAGTGATTACCCGCTTTCGCGTTTCGCTTTGGACATTAATATTGTAATAAAAAATAAACGTCCGGTGCAAATGTATCGACTTATCCGAGTGTCCTGAATATCGACGTCGAGAAACGCCGCGAGAGTATGAGTCTTTCATTCCGAAGTTGATTTATAGAAGTTATTTAATTATAAAACGATCCAGCGTGATAGTTCTCATTCACACGCGGAGCTTAATACGCTAAATGTTCCCCTTGAACGCTCATACTTCTTTTGCAATGATTTAAAATATTAATGTAAGAGAGAGAGAGAGAGAGAGAGTTTAACTTGGGTCTTTTTAAATATTGTAAAACTTGAATATTTTTGATGCTTGATGCGACTGAAGGCTTGCCAACGGCCGATCAAATTTCCGCCAAGGAAATCTGACTCCGACCTCATCAAGGAATTCTTAGCTTTAAAGAGAAGAGGCAACCTACCGATACACCCTATATACGTCTGCAGCGTACCAAGATCTACTCTGACCGAAGCACGGAGTGCTTGCGCGCGCGCGAGTGTGCGCTTGAGCGGCGTATTTGGGTTCGAGGCACGTGTGTATATACATTTACGTACGTGTGTATGCATATGTATGGCTGCGTGTGTGGCGCACGACACGCGAAACGGATGATCGAGCACCACTGACGCCCGAGCCACACACGGGGTTGGTTTGGGAGCTCGCGAATGGCTATGGCGTGCCGAGGGATGATTAATGCACGCCACCACCATCGCCCCACAGCACGCCGTCGCTCTCTGTACACTCGCGTTCCCGTCCGCCACCTCCCCGTGGCATAGGTCGGGCGAGCGTCATCGTTGTTTTGCACGCACAGGTGCGGAAACATTCTCCGGAAACGGCGCGCGACTCATTGTTCGGTGCGAACTTCAAGGACCGCATTTCTCTCTCTCTCTCTCTCTCCGCTGTTTTTTCTCTTTTTCTCTCTAACTCTTCATTTTCCGACCATCACCTCATAGTAATCGGTCCGCGGTTTTTTAACAGCAGTAGTTTTTTCCGCGCTTTTCTTGGCTTACTTGCGAATTCAATTTTAGTGGATTTTTAACGATTTAATTTCTAGCAAAAAGGTTTACAAAGATATCAGTTGTTTCCTCGCAACGCGATTCGATGAAGCTCCATTCATCTTTCGGTTTATGAGTAATACGCGTTAAATTAAAAAAAAAAATACAAAGCGTACTTCTTCGCTGACGTGGAATCGAATTTTATACAGCAACAAGTCGTTTCTATGATTTTTTAAAATACGTATCTCTATTATAATTATTGCGCGAGTGAAAGCGTGTTAAGTGAAAGTTTAAACTCTGTCCGTGTCATCCCAGATGAACGTAACATTAAAGTCATTCTTGCAACGAAAATATCTAGCGAGAATATAAAGCACATTATCCGTCAATTTGTGCCGCAAAGGAAATGATTAATTTGCTAAATCCGATCTCGGATATATCTTCTTCGTTTGCGGTTCACGGCGTGATTGGTGCGAGGTTCAGATCCGAGATGACACGGGTATTAAACTTTCACGAGACGACATTTTTCTCCACGGTGGAAAATAACCATGTGACGCTAATGAATGCAACGGTACCTCATTTAGGAGGTATCCGATAGCTTGACAGGCCGATGTTCGGTTTGCATCCGAAAGCGTGTCGCCAATGTATTTTTCGCGAAAAAGCCGCGCTTTCGAAAATCACCTCGTGAAAGTAATCATTTTACGCGTTTCATGGCATAATGCAACGGTATATATGTATATGTATAAAATGCTTTCAATTAAACGGCCTGATGCGTAAAGCTTCCAGTAGATCCGCGAGAACGAAAAAAAATGCTCCATATTTGTAATATTCTAACACTTCCTTCACGGAAAAAAAAAGATTAGCTATTATAGCAAATCTAGTCGTAAAATATGGATAACTAACATTTTTACAGCGAGAGCTATAATTTAGCAATAGTAGCAAAACTTTAACAAAAGGTTTTGCTACTACTGCTAAATTATCCATATTTTACGACTAGATTTGCTATAGTAGCTAAAAAATCCTTTTTTTCCATGTTTTGAATAAATAAGTCCGGTCTGCGCTCTTACCCAGTTCGTATGGGGAAAAATTGTCCTTTCTTCGATTCCTACATCTCTTAAATATCTTTCACATATCTCACGATTTTCACCGTTGTAAAAATTGACAAATATGTGATTATAGACCTTTTGAATTAACGATAACTATATTGTGAAGTTGTATCTTGCATTTTATGAAGATGTTACTGAAACTAATTTAAGCTAATTATACATATAGACACATATATGCAATATTTAATATATGCATCATTTTTCCGCTCTCGATGGCTTGACTTTTTAAAACTCACTACGCTTTATCTTATATATCCCACTATCTCATCTTCTTACGTTTTTTTTACCATTTATAATAGATTTGTTCTAGCAGCTGCATAAATTTAAATACAATAAACTTAATACACGGATATCCCTAAGTAGAAAAATTACGTTACATTTCAAAGGCTATCGGTATTCCTCCATATTTTTATCAAGAACAAGTGTATTACACATAAACCAAAGAATCCCCGTGTATGAAAATAAACTGAGGGGGCGGAGCATCACGTACACGGTCCTCCAGATCGCAGAGACGCAAAATTACGCGCGACACCTTCGTTACCGTGCGAAT